TTGTGGTGCAGTTTCTCACCAGGGGAATGGAGGTATGGTTCAGTAGCAAATCATTCACTCATTGTGTTTAAATCACTTGGCCCAACTTCTTGCACAACTCATGGAGAATAGAAGTACCTGCAGAAGCACTCAAAATTGATGATCACAGCCACCATAAATATACAGAAATAACTATTTAGGAACAATCACCACCCCAAATTCAATATCTTTAGTGGAATAAAAGAGCAAAGATAACACTATGTGAGCTAAGACGCAGTAGTCAGTAAGGGTAAAGTTGGGAAAGAAAATGGGAAGGATATTATTAGTGAAAAGTTCAAGATATAAAGTGAAATAAAGATGGAAGGGGAAGAGATTAAGATCTGGGTAAAGACAAAGCAAGAAAGAGAGAAAAAATTAAGATCCAGAAAACAATCAGCTAAAATCAATGACAATAAAGAATTATAGAAGGCAGAATAGAGAAAAGAAGGAAAGTGAGAAGGGAAGGAACTGATTCAAATTGATGAGAGAGAATAAAAATGGGGGAGAGAGACAGGAGAATAAGAAAAATGAGATTGAGATGATTAAAATTCATTTTTAAAAGCGGTCTGTTGTGGCTCATGTCAAATGTCCCTGTACTCAGGAGGCTGATGCAGGCAGACCACAAGATACAGGCCAATCTGGGCTCTATGGAGAATCCATCTCACAGACAGATCAAAGAAAAAAACCCCAAACCTTGAACAGGGCAAAAGAAGTCAAAGATATGAGACATTAAATGTGCTAAATAATAAAAACAAACAGAAAAAATAAATTATACAAAAATAGAATAAATGCTGATGTGTGAATATCAAGTCCATCTGGCTGGTTTAGAGTATCTAGGTGGGGATGCTGGTAGCTGACACCTGTAATCATAGCTACTTGGGAGGCTGAGATCATGAGGATTGTGGTTCAAAGCCAGACTGGGCAAATACTTTGCCATCTCCAAAGACCAGAGAAAAATGGAGGGAGGTGTGGCTCAGGACAAGTGGAAGAGTGCCTGCCTTAAAAGTTAAAGCTTTGAATTCAGACCCCAGTCCCACCAAAAAAACCCCAAACAAATAAGAATATGTATAGAAAAGTGAACAGTTAAATAAAAATGAAAAGGAGAAAAACTGGAGGAAAATAAAACTAAACCAGATATGAAAAAAAAAAATTAAATAAAAATAGATAGGTTATATGTCTTCTGTGGTTGTGTTTTTTGTGTGCTCTGAAGCCCAATTTCTTGATCAAAACTGACTGGTTTTTCTTCCTGTGGCTGAATCAGCACCCACTGGGCCAGTAATGACAGGAGAACCTATGGTAATTACTTCCCAGGACTGGATGAGGCCACTTGTATGCTTTACTTTCTGCTGACAAGTCCTGGTCTCTGACCCTGCAGTGGGGAAGCCCCATGGTGATACACTGATATGACAGAAAGTCCCAGTCCATGGCCTCTGTCCTCAACTGCTACCCTTGCAGGTGCTCTGCCTAAACTTGCTTCCACTCCATGACTCAGACAGTTTTTGCATATATCTCCCTGTGTCTCTGATTCTGGCTTTTCACTCTCTGGTGCTCAGGACAAGCCCTCAGTGGGAAAGTGAAATTTAGGGTCTCCTGAACGTCCAGATTTGTTGTATAAATCCCAGATGGCTCAGGGATTTATACAATAGCTTCTTGCAAATGTGTACAACCGAATGCCCAGAGGAAGAGAGATGCTTCATTTCAGCTATGTGCTATATGGATTCTCAGACCCCTGTCTGAATAGACTGCATATTTGCTTGGTTTGAGTCCAGTGTTAATTGTGTTTTCTGAGTCCCTCAGGCTTCTTTGTTTTGCCTGAGTTCTTTCTCACTGGGCTGCCCAGATCGCTTGCAGAGGGATTCTCTCTTTTTCTCACTCTGACCTTTAAACCCTCTTTTTTAAAATATAAAAACAAGATTCTGCTTGTTCACAACCGAGACCACAATATGTTATTTTGAAGACTTTGTTATTTCTCTCACCTCAGACCCCCTCCACTCTGTAGCTGCCTGTACTCTGCATTTAATGCTGGGCAGTCTGCTCATACTTCAGTGGTTCTCTGTTCTGCCTACCATAGGTGTCCATCTTCCTTTTTAATACCTGGGTCTATATGCTACTGAAATCTCAGTACCTTCCTCCCTTCATCTGCTACAAAAAGTAACTTGTCTCTAGATTTCCCTGGTCAATTCCCCTGAGATGCTAGGGGTGATTGCCTTTAGTCCACTATCTTAACTAAAAATCTTTTTATTCCCTTTTAAAAATATAACTTTGGCTCTTTTGATATCTTGAATTCCCTTACATATTTTAAGATGAACTTATCCATTTCTGCAAAGCCAGCTGAGATTTGGCATGGAAAATATTCAATCAGTAGATCAATTATGACTTGCTGTCAGCTTTACAACTTTGAACCATGAACAAGGAATGTCTTCTCTATTTTTGGTTTCCTTTAATGTCTCTCAGCTATAGTTTATAATTTCATGAGTATGAGCAACACCAAAACACAGTGAAATATAAACCATAAGTTCTAGTGCTCTCTAGCGCAGTGGGGCAGCAAAGACTCACAATTGCTTATTTTGTGTTTCATGAAGAACTAGAAGAGAGCAGCTCAGAGGCTCCAGACACAACATAGTGACAAGAGATGGAAATGTTCATTTTCCTGGTTTGTTCAGTAATGCATACATGTATTAAGATATGACATAGCATCCCATGAACATGCATGAATATGAGGTGTTGATAAAATTTTTAAAAGTCTAAAGCAATGGAAACAATCACAATCCTGATATGATCAGCACAAATCATATATACATATCAAGTGATCAACTGATGTTCTGTCCATATGTGCAATTAAAATCAGAATAATTAATAAAATATTTATACTTATAGAACATATATGGTGATTCATAAAGTGATGAATTTTGTCATTCATTTTACCATCTAATTTTATTATCAAAATATTACGTCATAGAATAGATGATTGCTATTATTATTTTGAGCAAAATTATCTGCTGATAAATTAAGAATAAAAATGTTTTTATTTTATCTACAAAAAAAGAAACCAGAAGCCCCAAGAGCACAAGCACCACATTCTTTTGGTAATATTACCTAAGAAATTTAGGTTGTTTTTGATAGTATTGTAAATGGAATTTACTTAATTATAGAAATGCTATTATTTTGTGTATTAATCTTATTTATTGACTCTATTCTTAACCATTTCATTAGTTTTAATGATTTTTTCTGAATTGCATATAAACACCATTTCTTTGTAGAGATAGTTTTATTTTTTCCTTTTCAATTGGTATATCTTTGGTACTCATAATGACAAGTTAAAATTATTTAATCATCCCTTCCACTTTAGCCTAACATATATGGTTATCATCAGAAATTGTCATTAAAGAAGCTTTGCTATACTGGCAAACTCTGAGGACTGAAATATTTATTAAGATGCTGTAGTTATTTACATCAGAATATAAAGTGCCAAAATAAAAATAACAATATAAATCATTATCATCTCTTCTAATTTGTGGACCCTTAGAACTGTACTTAAACTGAATAAAGAAATAATTTGTTCTACAGAACAAATGAAATTTACAATTACTTCATGCAATAGTTTTGAGAGGAATAAAATAGCTTTTGTGGATTTGTTTCATTAAAGGGCAAACCCTAGAGAATATTTTGCCTTCTCAACAACTTTCTTGAATGCATTCTTGACCTCTCTGTTCCTCAGGCTGTAGACCACAGGGTTCAACATGGGGATGATCACAGTGTAGAACATAGATGCAATTTTGTCTGTGTCCAAGGAGTGACTGGAACTTGGCTGTAGGTACATGATGGTGACAGTCCCATAGAATATGGAAACTGCAATGAGGTGTGATGCACAGGTGGATAAAGCTTTCTGGTATCCCTCTCCTGAGTGCATCTTCAGAATGGTGATAAATATGAACATGTAGGAAATTAAGATAACAAAAATTGCAAAAATGACATTAAAGCTTGATATAAGAATAAGAATCAGCTCACTGGTTTGTTTATCAGAACAAGTTAGAGTCATGACTGCTGGAATGTCACAGAAGAAGTGATGGACCACATTGGACATACAGAAAGAGAGGCAGAATGTATCTCCAATTTGCATAGAAGCATTCAATAAACCAATGATGTAGCAGCCTGTGGCCAGGCGAGCACACACACTTTTTGTCATGATGGTGGAGTAATGCAGGGGCTTACACACTGCTGCATAGCGATCATATGCCATTGTGGTCAAGAGGTAGCATTCCACTGTGGCAAAGGCTGCAAAAAAGAACATCTGAGCAGCACAAGCATTGTAGGAGATGATTTTGTCTTGTAAAAGTAGCTCAGCCAAAAGCTTTGGAGTGACTGTTGATGAGGAACAAAAGTCCACAAAAGACAGGTTACTAAGGAAAAAGTACATGGGGGTGTGGAGACGAGAGTCCAGGAGAATCAGCATGATCATTCCTAGGTTTCCAATCATGGTGATGAGGTAGACAAGAGTGAACATTATAAAGAGGGGAACCTGCAGTTCTGGGGCAGTGGTTAATCCTAGCAGAAAGAATTCACTCACCTCTGTATTATTCTCCATACATGGTGTTTTAAAATCCAAGATGCTCTGTAGAAAGACAGGCAAAAGAATGTATGATGAAAGAAAAAGTGTTGCAAACAAATTGAAATGTATAAGCACATTCAGTATTCACCACATCTAAAATATGTGCATGATAACAGAGTTTAATGGTTAATCTATCTAAATGATAATATACTATTGAAGAGGAAGTGTCTTCATAGATGAGCAACTTCTAAATTTTATTTATGAGTAAGCTCAGTTGCATGAAGGGGATAGAGAGTTGTCCAAAGTTACATGCCTGGAATGAATCTATCTCCCAAATAAAAATTTTTGAATCCTTTACCTTCCACTTCCACATGCCAGGCTTTGTGTGAATATATTCATTTAATTCTCCCATGAAATCCATTATATTGATTAGTTATTGCGTCCACTCATACATAAGGTTAATTGGTAACAAAAGTTTTATGGTTTTTTTGCACACAAACCATGCTTTAGACCCAATCAGAGTTGTTCTCAATCCAAGGACTGTTAATGAATTTGAATTCATATATAGTTCTTACTATCAACTAGTTAGAAGACATTGGTCTAATGAATTTCATTTCATGTACCAGTAAAATTAATTTTAATATAGCCTTTGGTATCACTCTCATTTTATTATTTAAAAAGTTTAATGAGATATTGTATAACAAGCAACATAATTTTGGTGTTTAGCACAATCCTGAAAGTTCCAGTTTTCATTAGGATGGAATAATGGTGCCTATGTTATTGCAGGAATGGTAACCTCTGGGGCTCAAGGTGTGGGCATGTTTTGAAGTCTGGTGCCTTTATTCTCTGTTTTCTCACATGCCACATCCCTTTCAAATCTGTCCCCACAGCATTTCTCACTCCTTTTTCAGATGATTGACTGTGTCACTTGCTCTGCTTGAGGACCCAGGGATCTTCAAGATCTCTTGTGTTTAAGTTCTTTCTTGAAAAGCGTTTTATCTGTTGAAGGCAAACACTCTTACCTCAGGCTTTTTTTTACTGTCATTATTGTCTGTCATCTTCTCCTGGTTCCTACACATGCTACTTGACATGTCTACATTTCTAATTAGTGGTGTTTGCCAAACTTCACACTCTCAATATTATGAGCTGTATTAAAAATCAGCATTTGTTATGCTGTTCTATTTTTTTCTGTACTGGGGTTTGAACTCAGGGCCTACACCTTGACCAAGTCCACCAGTCCTCTTTTGCGATGGGTTTTTTTGACATAGGTCTTCTGAACTATATGCCTAGGCTGGCTTCAAACCACAGTCTTTCTGATATTTGTCTCCTGAGTAGCTAGTATTACAGGCATGAGACACTGACACCCAGAAACACTTTTTTTGGGGGACGCATTGGGGTTTGAAATCAGGGCCTTACACCTGCTAGGCTAATGCTTTACTGCTTGAACCACCTCACCAACCTTGTTATGTTCTGTGAGAACTAATACATTTTCACTGGGGTCACATGGACAGTCCAGGATAATATCATTTCAAAATTCTCAATCAATCACTGTGCACAGTTCATTTTACTATGTAAGGCAACCTTAGGTTTCAAGGGTTAGATTGTGGACATCATTTGGCAGTTAGTTTTAGTAGTAGACATTGTAGAGTCAGATATCTTCACAGATCACACAGCTGACTTCCCAGTAGTTTATATGAATCAACAGAGGGGCAGAAAAATGTGTGAATTTCACCAGAGCACATTTATGATCTGAATTTATCTTTTAAATCAGGTGTCATAAAGTCACTAGCAGTTTAAATTTAATCCTTACAAACAATTTAGTCTGAAAGATGACAGAAAGACTTAGATAAATATAGATGATAGACATAGATTTCAGAGAATAGAGGGAGAGTGTTTGTACACACATACACTCAGAGTTAAGCTTATTTTCTACTATGAAAATGGAGAATTGGAGGAAATATATGTGTTTGTCATATTTAATATGTAGTAAGAATTTTAAGACTCAATCCCATGTCTAGCTTATTCATAATTTTGTGTCTTTAATCACTGCAATGCAGATTTTCTAGATGATCATATAAAGAAAAAGTGCAACTGTGGGGAAATTGAGAGATAACATGCAGTAACAGTCTTACCAGAGCCAATGAAAGTACAATTGCTCTCTATTTTGGTTTGTCTATTCCTTCAATGACAAACCAGCACACATTAAACAGGATAAATTTACCACCTACTCAATCAGAGCATCTTCTGTAGTTGATTTTTTTATCTTAAGAAAACCACTATGGCATTACCAAAATATCTGTGCACATCCTGCTTGGCTAAAATGATTTTTTATTTGAATTCTGGACACATGCAATGTTATATTCATGTATATGTACATGTGTATGTATCTGTGCATGTACTTAGGCATGTATTAGTGATCTTGGGAATAAAAGCCATGGCCTTATGTATACTGGGAAAGTGATCTACCACTGTAGTTTAGCTCAAGATATCAAGGATAATTTTCGTAGTTCTGGAGATCAAACCTAAGGTCTTGCAGAAGCTAAGGCAGACTTAGCCACTGAAATACCTTGCCAGTAACTCTTTGTGTCAAGGTTTCAGAAAATATATTCACACAAGCAGATATGAGTTCAGAAACTCATAGACAATATCGTTTCCTCTTTGTTTCAATTATAGTTTTTAACTAAAGGTGTGTACCAAGAATAGATGCTTACCTTGTTCTTGGAAAAGAAAATCCTAAATTGTGAGTCTGACACCAGAAATTTGTCCTTGGATATATACATAATTCTGGATAAATTATTATGCATTTATCAAAAAGGTTTCAAGTTCACTGAGGTATGAAGTGGAGAGAGGACCATTAACATAGAGCTCAGAAGCCTGGGTTTTGGTCCCATATATACCATGGAGTTCTCTGTGTACTTGGAAGATATTTACCTTCTTCTGAACTCAGTTTCCTTATTTGTGGAATTGAAATGATAGATTTACTCCACCACACTTCACAAAATTATCTCTGTAAGAGGAGATAGAGTTGTGCCTATATATACACCAGATAAGTGTTATCCTCTCAGCATAAAGCAATATAATTTTTATCATGGTGTATTTCCTCTACCTACAGTTTCAGGCTCACTGCAAATACTTAGCCTGGAGAAAGGTCAGTGTGTACTAAACATATTAGCCTTCATTAAGATAAATAGTGACCACATGGGCTCTGGTTAGAGACTTATCTCTTTAAAATAAGGTCACATGAGGCTATGATACAAGTTTAGCATCTACTGACTAGGAACCAGAAGAAATGTTTATAAACTTGGAACACTCTTGGGCAATAGACTCCCTTGGAGAGCAATCATTTTTTTTTCATTCCACTTATTTATTGAAGGAGCAATTAAAATGAGGAGAGAGGTATAATTTTTATGTTGGGTAGCACATAGTTGCATTTGCAGTAATTTCTGTTATTCCTTCTTAATTTTATTAAGTTGTTATTGCACACATTAACGGTGTGCTTGATTATTTACATCTAATGCATTACTGAGATGTGTAGCATAGTCTCAATATTTGTTTTGTTTTCTATTATGTATCTATTTATTTGCTCATTTCCATTATACTAAATATTATAGCTAACACTTAGGCTAAATGATTAATAAAATTGTGCCTTCATTTCTTAGGTGTACAGTCAACTTAAAATAGGACATAGGATCAGAAAATTAGAAATGCACTTATACAATAAGTTTAAGTATTTGAACTCAAATTAGAATATGCACTCATATTGATGAGTCAGTTGAAACATTTGATTTAGATTTGCAGGTGATGAGTCTTTTCTCTCCTGAATTATCCATTCCTTAGACACTGTTTGTGATCTATCCACATGGTATTGGCATGCTTGCCATATGCTGGCCAATACTTAATGAGAAAAAAATGGAATTCACATCCCTTAGACTCAGAGTTTGGATTTTGTTGCAACAGCAAGCTCAGCCCATGTATAGAGAACTTCTGGTTTCAGAATCATTCATGACAAACAGAAGTAGAATAAAAAGTATGCAATTCCTTACCTTTCAGGTGGTGAAACTCAAAGGCATGTTTTATACAATCTTCTAGTGGTTCTTGGAACATAGAGCCCCAGTTGTCCATAGATATCACCTACTTACTAATGACACATGGCATTCTTTTCCTTCTCTGCCTAACTTTACAACTATATTATCAGTGCTTTGAAGTATTCACTACCCATTAAACTACTTAAACTCAAATCACTTACTTTGAGTCTGCTCTAGGGAACCTAATCTAGTATTGCAAGTCTCTTCTTTTCACAACAGATCCTTTCCTTCTTTCATTGTCTCAAATATGAAACTGGATAAAAGGACAGAGGAAGAATCTCCTGTTGCAGATAAGCAGGAACAAAAGAGAAATAAAATAACAAAGCAGCCTTATTCCTTCCCTAAATTCTCTGATTAGATAAATTCTATTTCTTCTCTTAGCTGAACTACTTTCACTGCACATATATGCCCTTGGAAACTAAACCACCTTCCAATGTTTGTATATATCTTATAATGTCTTGATTATTCAGTAAAACTTGACTGTCAGTTCATCTGGATGTAGAACTCTACATTGATACTTGTTTCATTGCAGTCTTTTTCAGATACAAATGCATTGTTAACTTATTTTTGTTTCTGAAAGAAAAATTGATGTCAGAAGTATTGTAATTACTCTGTAAAAAGTTTGTGCTGCCAGGAGTGATGGCAAACACCTGTAGCCCAGCTTACTCTGGTGCTTGAGATCCCAAGTTTAAAGACAGCCTTGGCAACTTAGGGAGTCTCTGTTTGTTCTTGTCCTTGCTTTTCCACTTTCTGAATATAGAACTTAAAAATGTGTTTTCTCAAAATTGATGTTGTTTTCCACCTCATATATGTTAATTGTAAATTTAGTTTTGTCTGGTCTATTATTTAAGGTGTACATCAAAGGATTTTATAAAATTGTCAGAATATCTTTTATTTTTCCTGATTTCATTTTCATATTCCATGTTTCATGTCACCCGTTAAGAACCATGA